CTATTCAATCGACGAGGAGGATTACCAGGAATGGTGTCGGAACCTAGAGCGGAAATAAGTGGATTGGAGTGGTTCATCAGTCGGGAGCGGAAACGTTTATAAAGAATTTTGGCAGTTTCTTCTATTGTATTAATATTTAAGTCTGTATGAAGGGTGTGATTAGAAACATAAAAAGGGGCATTCGTGATTATACGGAGGGTTGTAGATTGAAAGGTTTGAATTTTATTTGTGTTTGATTTTTTGGCTACGCCCCATAGTTGAATACCGTACGTCCAAATGGGCATTAATAGAGTTTTATATAAGAGTAATTTTGTTTTTATATTAAGTTTAGAGTGTTTTCCGAGTAAGAATTGTAGTGATTTCCTTCTAGAGTTCAGGAGGATTTTTTTCTTTTTTATGTGGTCTGCCCAGGTTAATCGTTGATCTAGAAATAGGCCCAGATAACGGGCGCTAGAGGATTTTGGAATGATTAGGTTATTTAGGTTTATAGGTGGTACGGTTCCACGATTCAATGTAAAGGTTAGATGAGTAGATTTTTCATGATTTATTTTTATTTTCCATTTGTCATACCAGGAAGACATAAGGTTTAGGTGGTTTTGTAGATTCATGCCAGCAATTGTTGGGTCTTTGTGTGAGGAGTAAATAATTTTGTCGTCGGCAAAATCTGCAACTGAGGTGTAAGGGGTTGTCGGTTGATCAGCTGAATACAGATTGTAAAGAGTGGGGGATGAGACGGCTCCTTGGGGGACCCCGGCGGAAATTCGAGCCAAGGATGACATTTCTGATCCAATTTTGGTCACAAAGTAACGGTCTTCAAGATAAGATTTATAAAATAGGTAGTAGGGTAGAGGTCAAATTTTTTTTAATTTGTACAAGAGACCAGGATGCCACACTTTATCAAACGCTTGGGATACATCAAATAGGGCTGCTGAACAGTATTCTTTTTTTTCTAGGGAATTAGATATGGAGTCAGTCAGTCTGTGTATTTGGTGAATGGTTGAGTGACGTTCACGAAAACCGAATTGGGTCTGTGGTATAACTGATACATCATTTAAGAAAGGAGAAATACGTTTTAAAACTAATTTTTCACAAATTTTACCGAAGAGTGGTAGGAGACTTATGGGTCGATATGAGGACGGAGTATCGGGGGGTTTGCCTGGCTTTAGAATTAAGATGATGACTGAGGTTTTCCATTGAAGCGGAAAATGGGAAAGTCTTATGATAGCGTTTAATATATGCGCAAGGTGTATTATAGCTTTTTTCGGTAACTGTAGAGCTACTTCTGCGGTAATCAAGTCCAGACCGGGAGATTTTTTGAGGCGGAATAGTTTGAGGTAATATTGAATTTCACCAGGCGAAACAGGTTTAGGTGCACGATAAAGTGGAAATGCTGTTGTGAGGGAGTTCGCAATATAATTTTCAAATGTATTATTAACAATGTCGTGGTGAGGTTGGAAGACTTCAATCAAATGGGAGCGGAAACGTTCAGATTTTTCAGCAACAGTTTTGCACCAAGTATTATCTTGACTTTTTAGGGGGGAATTTGTGGGTTTTTGTTTCAAACAGTTTCGAGTTGCCCTCCAGAGAGAACCATTTTGCGACGTAAGCGAAGAAACCCAAGAATCGAAATTCTCATTTCTTAATTGTTTTAAAGTACGTTTGAGTAAGGAAGCAAGATTGTTGAACGCATTTTTATCAGATGGGAGACGGGTACGTTGCCAGATAGATCTGGCACGTCGTTTTTTAGCGATTAGTTCACGGATATGAGTAGGAACTGGGGGGGAGTTTTGGGCATTCCCCAGTTTTTTAATAGTAGAACTCCAAGCAGCTGTTTGAATTATACTCGTAAAATGTTGAACAGCGTTTTCTAGTTCATTTGGGCATTTAAGACTAGTTTTTAGGTCGATGTTTTGGTCAATTATTTCGCGGAATTTAATCCAGTCCGTAATACCATCCGTAAGGCAAGCTTGACGGGGCCGGGGAGAAGGTTGTGCATCCAGAGAAAGAACAACCGAAGTATGGTCTGAGCATAGATCTAAGCAATTATTTATGACGTTTTGTAATCTAGTAGGGATATTAACTACAAATATATCTAAGATATCTGGGCGTTTATTTATAGACGTTGGCCAGTAAGTTGGGTCAGGGGGAGCTAGTATGGAATATTTTTTTTGATTAACTATTTGGAATAAAGTACGTCCTTTAGGGTTAGAAGTGTGGCAGCCCCAGGATTGCTTTTTGGCATTTAGGTCGCCGCAGACTACAAAATAGTGACCTAAAGAATTAAAAAAATGTTCATATTGTAGTGGCGTAATTTTGTGTTTGGGTGAGCAGTAAGTTGCTGCAATAGTGATTGGAGTGTGATTTAATTTTATTGTTAAAATGGCAGCTTGTAAAAAGTTTTCCTGTATATTTGAACAGGGAGTAAATAGAAGTGAAGATTTAATGAGAATCGCGGCACCAGCGTGTGAGGTGTTGTCCGGGTGGCATGAATTAATTATTTTGTAACCTGGTATTGAAAAATTGGTGTTAGTTGTGAAATGTGTTTCTGAGATTAGTGCTATGTCTATTCTTTTATCATTTAGCGTCATTATAAGTTCGTTTCTGTGATTTGTTAAACCATTAGCGTTCCACATGAGAATAACCAATGATTGGGAAGTGAATGAATTATTTGAGTTACTTGACATTTTGTGCAAGAAGACGGTCGAGAACTGTAGTGAGGAGAGAAAGTAAAGGATTGATTAGTGCTTTAAATTCATTAAGAAAGTTTGAAAGCGTGTTATCGTTAATTTGATTATTAGAAGTTGGATCAGAGTTATTATTATGAGTAGCCTGTGCGTAGGTCAGAGAACGTTTTGGAGGTGTATAATCATTGACAGTTGGCTGTTGGGTGGCTTCACAATTAGTATTTTTAGTAATATTTATATTATTTACAACATTTTTATTATTTTGATAGTTACCATGATTATTTGTGGCAGGTTTCCGGAGTTGTTGAAAATCTTTGTATATTTTACAACCTTTGTAGTTGGCCGGATGGTCACTCTTACACAGGGCACATTTGGCGGGCGTGGTGGTGGATTTAGTACAGGAAGTAGAGGGGTGGTTGTCACCACAACGAACACATCTTGGAGAATATGAACAGTGTTTTCTTGAGTGGCCGTAGTCTTGGCAGTTCAAGCATTGAATAATGTCTTTGCGTTTATGAGGCTCTTCAATTTTGACTTTTGTGTGAAGCAATGAAGTGACGTGAAATAATTCTGTATTGATTACTGCTGGAACTAAATCAACGAAGAACATGGACAGTTTAATTTTTGTTATTTTTTGAAGGACGTTGACAACTTGACGAACTGAGAAACCCATATCTTCTATGGCAGTTCCAATATCTTCAATAGGAGTTGAAGGATGTAGGTTACGTATAACTATGCGGAACGATTTTTCCTCATGTGGTTGATATGTATGGTATTGCGCATCTTTCTCTTTTAAGAGGTGTATTATTTTTCGGTACGAATCAGGGTTTGCTGTTAGGATTTTTATGACGTTGGTGGATGATTTAAATGTAAAGTTTTCCGAGCCTATTAATTCAATTAATGTGTTGCGAAAGTCTGCAAAATCAAGCAAATCTCGGACGAATATCGGAGGTGGTAGTTTGATTTTAGGAGTTTGAGCATCATTGATGTCATCAGTATTATTTATTGGTGGTGAGAGCGTGCTGATATTCTCTACGTTATCATTTGTGGCTAAAGGGCTGTATCTATTTGCAGTTACGAACATTGGTTTATTTTTTTTTGATTCATGTTCATCGGCTTTAGGTGAAGAGAGAGTGCGTTTTTGATTTTTGTGTTTTGACATTATTTTCGTCCGTGTTTAAAGACGAATCGAAAACATCGCTTGATGTACTTTGCGTTCGAATTGATAGAGTGTTATTTCGATTACGAGTAGAAGGTATATTTGTTGGTTGTTTTGTTTTCTCGATAAAATTCATATTTGATTTGGGCGAACTCATTATGCTAATTAGAAGATAAGACGCCGCGATGCGACGCAACGACGAACATAATGACTAACGACCGCCGACCTATGGTCGGGGCGTCCGGTGACTTTTATCGGTACGACAGTACCTACTTTATATTTAATTATAGTGTATAATATATAATTATATTTACCCGTTTTTTTGAGTCAATAAGAATATTTGGCGTTTACCCACTCTGATATGGGTCAAGTACTATTGGAAATTTTTTTACGCGTACAACGATATAAAGTTTGTGACATTTGATAGCTAGGTCGATAAATTACAGAACATTTAAGAATGAGTGAAATATTAACGTATGGAACGAATGACGTTCGGCGCATGAATTGACAATATTGATCTAAAACGTAAACAAATAACGAAAGACCCATAGGCTGTAAATAATTATTTTCATTTATTCTGTGGAATAACCATGACTGCAATTACATTATCTTTGGTATACAAATTTTAAAAGTTGACACTGGATGTCAGTGTCAAGTTTAATACCTCGTGTGAGAAGTGCCTGGATTATTTTGTCCCTGGGGCCCTTGATTTCTTTCCACGGCCCTGTATGTAAATCCGGCAACAGTTTAGAGGATGAAAGCGTTTTTCCAACCATGAGTTCTGACGCTCAAATTAATTGATAGTGAGTGGTGTGTTAGTAACCTTCAAAAATATAAATTTAGAAACATTAAAAATTAATAGATTTTTTTAATGTCATCACAAAGGTAAATCAGTTATAAGAACTGTCGACCTCCTATGAATGTCTAACAAAGTGTGACTCCGTTGTACCGGTAAACCAGTATAAAATGTAATAGTTTAATCTATACTGCGGTACGAGATGTTTTCCGTTCGGTACATCATGGATGGTCGATCATGGAGGAAAAAACCCTGTACATCTGTGACTGATGGCTCGATCTGTGCACGTAGTATGGTATGGCGGTGACCGGCGGTCCAGTGAGCGGAACGGTGAGCTTCGTTATCAGGCGGTGAGATGCTCTTATCAGTGCAATTGGACGGTCGGCCGCCGTCGTCCTGTAAACAACACGACGGGGTAAAAATACGCGTACCGCTGCGGTTCGAGATGCGTATGGGCCGGCTCGACTGGCGACGACCACGACCGCTGCAGCTGCTGACAACGTTGCGTCCTCCTCCGGGCACAACGATCCCTCCCTGTTGACTGTGATCACTGGTAGTGTCAAAGGCGGCGGCGACGGTCAATGTCATCGTGACCGACAACGACAACCACGACATGGAACTGACGAAAGTATGCCGACTCTGCCTGGCCGTGGCCGACTGGCCCATCGACGTATTCGATGAACTGGTCGACAAAATCGCGCAATGCCTGCAGGTCCGCATATCGCGCGACGACCAGCTGCCCAAACACGTGTGCGTCAAGTGCAGGGACACCGTCAACGAATTTCACACGTACTACCTCAACGCGCTCGAATGCCAGAAACAACTGGATCAGTTGGTGGACGCACCGCAGAACATGGTAAGTGACTGTACTAAATGATTTATGGCTAATATGCGTTACATGTCTTGGTACTGTTATATCATAAAAGGTATTTTTCAAGATCTTAAGTGTTCGTGTTACACCTCCACAATATGAAGACAATAATATTCTCCCATTCCATACACAGCAACAACAATGTCTATGACTTAAAATTATTATTACATTATTGCACAGTTCACAAGAACAACTTTGACAAACCAATACCATATCCATTTATTTTGATTAATCAATTATCACAATAATAAGAAATTTTCTTTAACTTTATTTGGCTCTAGTTTGATTTAAACTTATAATTTAGTTAAAATCATTAATTACTTAAACAGTAATTGTGTAAATATCTCATTTTGCTTATCTTCATTAATTATTTACTTATTTACTAACATCTAGTTTGAACATTAATTTAAACACAATTAATAAATTATATTTTCAATAGACTTTAAGTTTTACATTTTTTCAATTCAATAATTTGAGGGTTGACTAGAGACAGTAATATTTTTGATATGTTCTGTTGTTTAATAGTTAAAGTTGTCTTATTATTAATATGCTATATCATTTAAAATAATTTTATATATTTATTACAATAATGAATACATTTTTATCGACAGGCTTCCAGTAGTTTTGAACCAGTAGTCACTATTAATTATGATGAGCAAAATACGGAATACAAATCCGAATATAATGAACCTGAAAGTTGGTCTGAAGGCAATCAATCTGAAATTGAAACAAAAGACTCAGTTAAATTAGATTCGTAAGTTTAAGTCTATTTTGTATAGTATTTATATATAATTTTCATGTTGAGAACTTTCTAATTTTTTAATTCTTCACTTATCAACTATTTTGAATTTTTGTTTTAAATAGCACAATTGAAATTGATCAAAAGCCAGATAGGACTAAAATCCGTAAAATTAGAATGAAACTTTTCAAGTGCACTAAATGTGAAGAATCTTTTAACACGAAACATGCATTAAAAGAGCATAAAAATTATGCCCATCCACATACGGCATATAAATGCAATTGTTGTGATAAGACTTTTGATACTATGTGTGCACGCCAAAAACACAAAAAAGAAGAACATCCTAGTGTTACCTATTCGTGTGATACATGTGACTATCGTACTCCATATAAAAGCCGAATGCAATATCATGAAAACAGACATAAAAAAGTGTATAGTGTGTTTTGTGACACATGCCAAGCTGGCTTTTTTAATAAAGACGAGTTAGCCACTCATGAAATTAAAAACCATGGAGCCGAACCTTACCAATGTGATCGTTGTAGTAAACTGTGCACATCCAAAACCAATTTGTACAGCCATATGAAAGTGCACACAACTTCTTCAGAGTCGGTTAGCTATCAGTGTGAAACTTGTGGTAAAGCATTCAGACGCATAGGCAGTTATCGGCGACACATACAATCACATTTGGGTCTTAAATATGAGTGTTCATATTGTAACAAACTACTGAGTTCAGCCCACCATCTAAAACTCCATGTACGCATACACACTGGTGAGAAAAACCATGTATGTGAAATGTGTGGCAAAGCGTTTACAGTTAGCAAGTATTTAGTTGAACACAAGAGAATACACACTGGTGAACGACCATTCAAATGTGACTTATGTTCAAAAGGATTCACTCAAAAAACTTCTTTGCGCATACATACTAGATGGCATACAGGAGATAGACCTTATAAATGTGAAATATGTGATGACAGATTTGTCATCAATACATTCTTACAGAGACATATTAAAAAACATCATCCAGATCTTGTAGAACCTGTACAAAACCCTTGCTCTAATTCACTTCAAACTTTATGAAAATTGTATTTAGACTAAAAATATTATTATGCTTTTTATTTGAATTACTTTCTTTGTTGTTAAAATACATAAATATTTAAATGTATTATGTTAATACACTAGTTTCATCATTATATATTTATATATATATATATATAAAAAAAAAAAAAAATGTTAAAGTTAAATAATATTAGACATAAGACTTGATTATCTTTCAGCAATCTTTATTATACATTATATATTTTTCATAACTCATATATATTATAATTATGTTTTAATGGAATTCAATTAGGTTAATAAATATTAACAGACTTAAATATCACTTATAATTTATATATTCCATTTAAGTACAGTCAAAAGAAACATTATAAACAAATTGAGTTTAATACAAATTTGTTATTACTGAATTACTATAATTGATAATGGATCTATGGGCCTGTATAAATTTTATTTTATTTTTTGTTCATTTGGCCAGTGTATATGAAAAAAAATGTAGAACAATAAAACAAATTAAAAATTAATTTTTGATATCAATAATATCACATTCTTTGGAAAATAAGTTAACATTTAAAAAATTCCATAAAATAAATAAAACCATTATTGAATTCAAATGGTACAATAAATGTTGTTATAAAGCAAAATTATGATTTTTAAAATATACAAATAGTTTAGGAGTAGTCACTCAACAGATAATAGAAAATGCATAGATGGCAAAGGAAATCTCTCCCTGTAGATATAAAATAAAGTATGTATTTTTTGATGAGCAGAAATAAAAAAGTTCAGAACCGCTGGATTAGAATATTGACAAGATTTAACTGCTTTGAGCAAGTTTTTGAACTAAGTATACAAGCATTTCTTAGGTGTGACATATAATTTTTTTTTAAGTTTTCCATTGACATAGAAATTTAGTGAAAAGCATAATGTTTAAGAAAAGGAAATGTAATTTTTGATGCTTCAAAAAACTTGAAAAAGAAAATTTTTTACAATAACAATAATAATTATTTTTTTAAATCCGTAATGAACTATTTTATTACTTTATTAAAATTAGGAATGTTACATCACTTAATTTCAGATAATTCTAAAACTTGAACAGAGGAACCAATATATTTTTCAACATGAGAACAAATTTAAAAAACAACTGATAATTAAAGAAGTTTAAAAAGTTCATTTTTTTTTTTGTTTTTTATATGCTGAAGTAGCAAAAAATTTAAAATATAATACTCAGACTACAGTAAATTTTATACATATATCTTAAGGCCTTCACAATATTTGTAAATTAATATTTACTAAAATATCTACTACCAGAGCTTGAGATTTTCCAGTAACATGTGTTTATAGTTGCTAATAACAAAATTGTAATAGCAATAATAAATATTCTAAAAGATGTATTTTGTTTTACTTGTTAATTCATTCACGTTTAACCAATATAAGAATTTAGCTTGGCAGCTAATTTTAAAATATAAAATTCTTCTTACTTCACAATTAAATCAAAACATAAATAATACTGTTTTTATGGTAAAAAAATGAATTCATAAAAAATAACACATAGTTACATCTTTTAAAATTTACACATACACATTTAAGTTTTTCTCACAATACTAAAAAATAGTTATAAGAAATACTATAAATAATAATAACAACATAGCAACAGTATAAAAATTAAGGACAAGAAATTCAGTAGAAAATTGTTAGCAAGTCCTTTACCTTAATTTTTTTTCATTTAGTACTATAAACATAAGTAAAAATTTCATGTACATAGCAATTATTTTACCATATTTCTTAATTTAATATTCAAAGTGAACGATTTTCTAGTCCTGAGGAATCGGCATCTTCATCAGGTAATCCTACAACAACAAAATAATAGTATATAATTACAATCGTAATACAAAATCATATTTCATGTGTAATCTAGGTAATTTATATGCACTAAAATATAAATAAATAAGCCTTAAAATATAATATTGATTAAAAATTATTATTTTTAACATAATATTATACACCAACAATTAAGTTCAAATACAAATATTGTTTATTATGAATTAGCTAAATCATAAAAAAGTACAAATCAATACAAGTATAGACTCAATTCTACAACCAATTTTAAAACTCGTATACAATAATAAACTGGAAATTAAAAAATAACACAAATATCTTGATCATCAAATTTGTTCATCTATCCAAAAGAGTATTTGATATTTTTTTTAAAATTATATAATCAACATTTAGTTATTGTTATGTATAAGTTTATAAGGAAAATAATTTAAAATATTTAACATATTTCATTTCCAGATCACAGGTATATGAATATAGTGACCTGCCCAGGAATTATTATTAGTGGTTATTATTTGTTATTTAGTGGTGGAGTGGGAACTAAATCTAAGCAAGGAAATAATAATAACTCAACCTGGTAAATTTTAATAATAACAAAGATATGGCTTTCTTGTTACACTCAAAACACCAGTTTTTTATTACTTTTTTCTTATCATTATCTTAATAATTGTGACTTCAGCTTAAAATAAAATTTAATTTGTTACAAATTACTATTTTATTAATTTAATATGATGATATTATACCACCAAAAGCTATAAAAGTAACTAGAGTAGCAAGAGTATAACTACTTATTTATAGGTACCCAATCATTTTATTAATTTTTAATTAAAATGCAAAAAAATTGATAAAAATTAGTTTAACATTAAATTATTCTAGACGGAAATTTAAACACCTAGCTTTTGCACTCAGTTCATTTAAAATATCATCAGTCCTCAACTGTATATTTCGATGGATATTCATCAGGTCTAATTCATTCAACTTATTGTTTGATCAATTTTAGTTTTTTTTGGAAAAGTATAACTCAATTGTTCCATAGCATTTTAACATCATAAAAAACTTTAAATGAATAAGCAAATGTAAAACACTCAAATAAGTGAAAAGTAAAAGATATCTAATAATTTTAGTAAACCACAATTTATAGAATTAACTTATTAAACATAAATAATATACAACTTAATTTATAACAACTCCCTCGTTAATATTTAAAAAAAAAAAACATATTGATAAACTGATGAACATTTGAATAACACATTTTTGGCGGTTTGTCAATTGAATAACAACAATATTGCTTCAATTAATTTATAATTTGTATAATTACAGTATAATCATACAATCATAATTCATGTTTGATAACTTATCTTAATTTTCATAAAACAACGACCATAGAATATACTAGCTTTATTCTAAATAGTAAATATAGTATATAATAGAATAAAATAGTAATATTACATTTGTTATAGGTATTATTATAAAAAAAACAAATTAGTAAATCCCATAGGGACAAAAGTCAATGAGAGGAAGCATATAACCCTAAATGTTCTATTCCGTGGGCATTGCACTGTGAATAGATATACATGACAATTATTAAATATTCATAATTTACCTTTGTTTTTTATAAAACAAAATATATGCATTGCAATAGTCTTCTTGTCCTGGTATTGTTTTAGTAGCAGTTTCATCATTATAATAATACCAATCTTCCGATTCAATATGTTTAGTATATGATGTATAGTGACCCATAGAAGTACCTACCAAAATAAGATAAATGATATTTCGATTATTCAAAAATAAAAAAATAATAATAAAACTTACTTCCAGTATGACAAACACATGCATATAAATCATAAACAACTTCTTGTTTCATGTCCAAAATTAAACCATCTATAGGAAAAACTACACTATCTTGTAATTTAATCCCCCAATTTTCATGAAAGACAAATCTAAAATGACAAATTAATTATAATATTAATTTTTTTTTTTGTTACAGTTATCATTTCAAATCATTACCTTTTTAAGTAAACAATTAAGCACCTAGGATATTTGGATATGGAGAGTGTTTTAGTAGCGCATTGATTTTTTTGGCAGAATGGACACCACCAAGGATTATTATCATCCAGAAGTTCACTATAAAACAAATCAAATTTAATTAATATACCTGATATTTTATACATACAATTATACACAGTAAAGAAATAATTAAGAATAAAATACTAAAACATAGGTTAATTAAGCAACACAATTTAGATACTAGTGGAAATTTTAATTAAAAGAGACTAAAATGTGGAAAATCTTAATATTAAAAATTGGAGTTTACACTTCAAAAAATAATTAAAATTTAGTTGCAATATAAAACCATGCATTATATAAATAGGAACAAGGTGTTTTTTTTTTTTTAATATTTTCTCCTAACTCCTCAATTACTACTATGGTCCAATTGATTTTAATTTTTTATTGATAGAAAATAAATTATAAGTTTTGAGTAGTACATTAAATTAAAAATGAAGGAAAATTGATAAAACAAAATAACACATCTATAAAATTATCCTTTAAATAATAAAACTACTTTCAATACCTTTGACAAAAAGCATTAATGCAATCATATATTGTAAGAGGTTTATTTGATCGCATTTCTTCAGTAGACCCTGGATGCAATTCAGTCTCAAGCAAATTAATATCAATATTTTCTTCAAACATAACAGCTAGTGTATCGCCGCTCCGGAACTTAACCATACTACTTTTAGGTATCACACAACCAGTACAATGTGAATCCCACATACATCTAGAGCACATAGTCCCTTGACCATCAACTAGAGATAGCGAAAAATCTTCAGAATAAGGATGAAGTTTAGCAACTTCAATATAAAGTATTTCAGCAGGAACTTCACTCGGTAAACGTATCAATGCTGGCCGACCAATTAAACCTTTATCATCCATTTGTTTTATCACAATTGGAATAGTCAAACGTCGAATAGTTTGATTTATACTATTGGCAGGTTGATCAATGGGAATTAAATCGATTTTGGGATCTATTTTAACTCTGCAAACAGGACAATCTATTCTATCTTTTTCTCCACTGGAATGAACACAACTCATTTTAATACATTCTTCACATAACACACAAGTACAGTCCTTGATATCTTTATGATGCAGCATATCAGGTTTACATTCTAGGCATATGGTACAAGTTTCTCCTTGTTCAACTGTTCCAGAATCTACATCCATTGGCTCCTATAATAATAATATAGAATAGTTTATTTCAAAAATAATCTAAATATAACTAGTACATTTCTAGATTTATTTTACAGATCAAAGATAAATACAATAAGCAAAAAATCACTATTTAAAATTCCAATTTTTTTTTTTTATTAATATAAATATATATATATACACTTATAGAAATATAATATACAAGTGTTACAGTACATAGAAAATGCTTTATTTCTTAAAAAATTGTTATATTGATAGATTATATTAAAAGTAGACTATTTAACTACTAAAAGTTAACTTACAATATGAGCATCTCCTTCAGTACATGTCTCTTTATCACCGTTCATGAGATCCACATTTATTTCTAGCACTTCAAATGCATACAAATCACGATTATTGTAATCCACACTTCTAACAAGGTAGTCATCGCTCTGATTAAATAAAAAAAATATTATTTTACATATAGATTTTAAAATTTATAATACTATGCTTACTAGTATTTTTGAAATATGTTTATTGAAAACTTCTGCAACAACCAACATATCAGAACATTTATCTTCCCCAATCAAAGCAACCAATTCATTTTTAACTTTTTTAATATCATCCTGTTTATTAACAGTAATCAGGTATTTAATAGGTGGTTTGTTTGTTGCACTTACAAATGTTACATCTGAAAGTAATAAAACATTAAAACCATTTTAATTAAATATTACAATTGATTGATCTTACACATTTGTTGTTGAGTAGCAAAAGGTAATGGTACAGAAAGATACATGAAAGGCTCATGCATAACAGATACATAATTACACTCAAGACATGTAACCTAGAAAATAATTAATTGTAAATTAGTTGATTTTTTTTTTTTTTTTATGACCTTTTATAATATTTGAATACTTACAGTACTTTCAAATTGTCCTTGAAATATTCTATTGATGATAGATTCTTGTTGTGTACGATTTTCAACAGTAGACCCTAATGAATCAGCTTCCACCAGTTCTGTTTTATTTAGTTTAGCATCATCTAATTTTACACGCTTAAGATCCATAAGTTTTAAATCAGATGAGGAATCACAACAAATTTCTCTTTTTCCATTCAGCAAATCAGTAATTTTAACTTTGGTTTTATGACTATCCGATTCGCATGAAGATATGGTACTATCAATTGGTGACACATGTACATCAGAGTCGGAATTGTCTGCTATTTTTTCCAGCAAGTCTTGATTCTCAGATAACTTTTCTGTTAAAATTTCACATATAGTTTGAGGTAATTCATAATCAGACGAACTAATAACAAACTCATCAACATCACGTGGCAACAGTTTTCTGGGATTTGGAGACTTACGAGTTTTACGTGAAGTTATTATTTTGCAGTGTTTGGAAATATGCATCAATAGTTCATCGTTTAAACTGTCTAACAGAAGTGCTAAAAATTCTTGACAATCATGCTGGCTGCAATCTCGGAACTGTGCGTATCGTTTTCCCAATACATATTTGAACTGATGTGGATTAATAATACTAAACTGCCCATGCCAAAAACGTTTGGCAAGATCAGAAAATTGTCCAATCAACGTATCTTCAGATCCATCAGTGTCAAAATTCAAAAAATAAGTAACAAGGCTCTCAGTAGACAAGAGAGCTTGTAGACCTGCACTCATAAAACACGTATTACCAAGATTTCGAAGACCACAAACACCTATTTCAGCAGTTGGATCGGATAAATCAGCATCAGCAGTAAAAATTGAATTTAACCCTAATCCAGGTGTTTCAGCTCTGGAATCAGATTGAAGGCCACTAAACTCATCAAAATCACTAGGACCTGGAAGTGCTATAGGAAAACTTGAATTAGTTGATGTAGGAAAACAAGAAGTTGAATCTTCAGTCCTAAAATGTAATAAATATAACTGTGAATGAAAATTATTTATAAAATGTATTATAAACAAAAACAATGTAAATATTAAACATTTTTGAGCTCAATACCAAAAGAAAATACTCAGTCTACCAACTAGTTTTCTTCTAGCACAGCAAACATTCTACTATCAGCAATTCAATTCAACATCTTATCTCATGTTGCAGTCAATTGAGACAAATTATACAGTAAACATTAAAAAAATAACATACACATTACTTTTTTTAAAAAGAAATTGAAAATGAATGATATGAATTAACCAAAAATGCTTGATAATAGTTTCAAGTAAATTAATATTTAAATATTTTAACAATAACATTATTGTAATATGTTAACAGACTATTGTGTACAAGGCATTAGATTGTTACAAATTAGACATTATCAGCATTAAATTTTAGAAGGGAAAATCAAACAATGACAGTCTGTCACAATGTACAAAAAACTATGAATTTTCTTTTGGAACAAAGTATAATAAGAAGTCTAGTTAAAATAGATTTCATAATAGGTTTGAAAACAACTCACCATGAACTATCGACAGTCATCATCTGCGACGGTTCGTTGTTGTGTAGGTATGTATCGCTGTCAGTGATTTCAGACAGCTCGGGCAGTGTCTTAGGCAATTCCTTGTCAAGGTTCTCGGCCAGAAACGCCGAATCACCAAAGTTGTCTTTGTCGTCTGCGCGCAAGTAATCGTATCGGTTACTGTGCAACGGAGTCAGAATGGACGTGTCGACTTCCGAGGTTTCCATAAGTCGATCAATCTAGATCAATGGATGAATACAGTTAAACATACGTATGAGTGACGGAAAAAGATGAGGAATTAACGAATAAAAAATAAAAATATTTTTTTTTCAAAAAAACATGCACCACAACAACGCCGTGTTCGCGCCGCACTTGAGTCAACCGAACGAGGAGGGAACTCAATGATATCAAAAACCGAAAACGTAACACTAACCTGAACACTAGCAGGCGATCACCACGTCGGTATCCGTGCCGTCCGCGTACCTTCAACGAAACGCGTGCAATCCGGCTCCAGCGGTTCCAACGACTCGCGTCCAGCACCGTAAACCGCAAACACCGGGTCCCGCACGCACGGAACTACTACTTATCAACGACCTAATGGTAACCACGACCGCTGAATACTGTCGAGAAAATGCGGCGACATTCCCAGCGCATCGGTGGCCACTTACCCGCGTGTCGAAAAGAGCGATTGGTTTTCGCGCGCGAACTCTCCTCAGCCCTTATGTCACGATGTCACGACCGTGTACAATGGTGAGCACTATAGTGACCGTGGTGAACTCCGGTTGTGGACAATAATAATAATAATAATAATAATACACTGATCCGTTTTAACAATTTTTTTATTTATTTTTGGTTATGCGGTTTCAGAGGCAACAGTGCAACACACCGGGCAGCATACTCCTTGACGAAAAAATAATATATATTATACACGCTGATATTACAGTAAGGTTTGGGTTTTGCAACGTCCTTGCATGGGCGCCCGGTTCACCTCGCGCGTGTGCGAGCGCGTGCGACTTTTCTGTGATATCGTATCCTCGAAGGTTGTCAGCTGACTTTGATAGCGATATGTGTTCCGTACTGTTATATAAATTTCATCGTCGCACTTGCACGTCTCGAATTCGTACGTCTTGTTTATTTGGTTCCCGTTACGTTCGTAATCCAAAAGTCGCACATTTCTATCAACAATATTTAACTCTGACTAGTGTGATAACAAAACGTCTAATATTCTAAGATGATAATTTGTCAGTTAAGTGACGCGTTTTGTCTAAAATTGAACGTAGTACACACCCTTTCGACGGCTTAATCGTCAGAACCGGCGGTTGAAAATGTCCCCAAAATTATGTTCAATATTATTATGAAACACCGTTTTGATCGATTTCGTAAACGAAACAACTGAGTTTTAACTGTTGTACATATTATTGCCATGAAGGTAACGCATTAATATTTAAAGAATATTGAGCGTTGTGGGTCACACATAATTGGACCTGCGGCCCTGAGATTTAACAAAAATTTGGAACGCGTTAAGTCGATGATAGTATCACAGTAATATTTGATGTATCAATTAACTTTCTTAAAGACGATTAGATAACTTGACTAGATCATTCACAATGAGTGTTTTATACCAGTGTATGCATTAATTAACCTTAGAAACCGTTGTTTTCTAATACTTAAAATAAGTATCTAAAATAAATTTACCGAAAGCGATGAAAACTTTATACTTCAAAGTATTTAGTGTCAGAGGTAGTTTTTTTAAATTTTTCTGAGGGGGTCCTTTTACATTATCTTATATGAAGACAAAAAAATGTTTAACTCATTAACTAAAGATAATATAATATCTAAATAGGCAATAGTTTTAACAAACATTCAAATATACGTACATACTGTTGAAATCACCAGATTTATATATAAGCGTATAAGCGTACTGATAAGCATATATCCACATATAAAATATTAATTATCACATCTTAAATATGTGCTCTGAGGAAAGTTCAGACCGTACCACCATACAGACCACCTGAACCCTACCTCCCCGTAAAACCGCCACTGTTCAGTGTTATTTTATATTACGACTGTATTTTTATAAGGCAGTCAGAACCGGCTCAAGGTATAGGCGAGCTAAGTACCTGCCTAGAGCGACACTTTAGTAGGGGCGGCATTTTCAAAATTGACTCGTACATTTTTTTTTATTTCTATCGGTATCCGAAATCAGTTCTTGAATACATTTAAAGATTCAATTTGATAAAATTAAACTCCATTACTTATGTCATATTAAGAATTATATTAACTTGTAATTGTTACAACAGTCGAGAAGAGTTTCATAAAACTTAAAATATTAAAAAATGATTTGCGATTAAATATATCTCAAGATCGATTAGTCAATATTTCTACTGAAAGCGAAATCGCTGAAGAATTAGACATGGATGAATTTACACAGAGCTTTGTTTCACTAAAAGCAAGAAAAGTCAATTTAAAATAAAATTAGGGTTGTTTTATTTTATTTTATCAATATTTTTATATAATTTTCTTTAGAACATAATCTTAAATCTAAAAATGAATACTTGTGAGAGATTTCTTGCAAATTTCTTATGTAAATTGATGCATCATTGATTTTGGGTTTGTCGAGTGTTTATATTACCCGAGTCGCCAGAATCAAAGAATGTGATGTGACATATCGATTTACACGAACATTTTGCTAGATAAACGATGGTGATATTTATTTAGTGTTAATTAACATGTCTTATAAACTAATTCGGTTTTTACAATGTAAAATAAACATAATTAAATACAATTTATTTAAATTACTTTTTAAATGATTAAATAAAATTACTTAAAGACCAATTCCAGTGCTTAAGTTGGTATCATTAAAAATAAAATTATAATTTGAAGTTTAATTTTATAATTACTATTCCTAAAAGTATACCAATAAAAAAATAATACTGTCCACTTTTATATTGACATTTTATTTTAATATATTATTATATTATTTTAAATTACGGTCTACAATGGGCGATTTTAATTATTCCAAAATTATAAATAACCACACTTCCGCGATTTCCGATAGTCGCGATAATTCATGGGTTTTGAGTAATAACTATAGAAATCATTTTTAAGTCTTTTAACTTATAATTTTATACATAAAATAATGTAGATATATCATATAAAAACTAAGGAGAGGGGCTAAGTTAAAATAAGAGCTCCATTTTTTTTAGAGGCGGCAAAATTTGACTTTGCCTTGTACACTATTTTTGCATACGATACAAATTATGGCTCAAGTTAAATAAAATAAAATGTCAATATAAAAGTGGACAGTATTATTTTTTTTATTGGTATACTTTTAGGAATAGTAATTATAAAATTTAACTTCAAATTATAATTTTATTTTTAATGATACCAACTTAAACACTGGAATTGGTCTTTAAGTAATTTTATTTAATCATTTAAAAAGTAATTTAAATAAATTGTATTTAATTGTGTTTATTTTACATTGTAAAAACCGAATTAGTTTATAAGATATGTTAATTAACACTAAATAAATGTCACCATCGTTTATCTAGCAAAATGTTCGTGTAAATCGATATGTCACATCACATTCTTTGATTCTGGCGACTCGGGTGATAAAAACACTCGACAAACCCAAAATCAATGATACATCAATTTACATGAGAAATTTGCAAGAAATCTCTCACAAGTATTCATTTTTAGATTTAAGACTATGTTCTAAAGAAAATTATATAAACTCTAGATTTTGAAGATAGAAAAAAATGTCAAAAGAATCTTTATTTTACCGTTCCAGAGAGTATGCGTATACTAGTTTCATCAACCATTTCAGAAACACCCTGTATACCAGCATTTTCAAAAGATTCAAAAGATGGGGAATTTTTTGTGGTTTTTAGTTTTATTATTTTATGTTTGATTAATTTGTTATTAGTTTTAAATCAGAATGGTCACTTGTATATTATTAACATCATTCATAATTCGCGTGCCAGTCGGTATATGTTATAGCCACTAGATAGAGTTGTATATTTCGTCTCGTTGCGTAGACTTGAATTTTCATTATTTTTTATAAAAAAATAGAATTTCAAATGACCCATAATAATTGTTATAATTATAATAATAATAATTATAATAACCGTAGTCGAAATGAGTTTGTGGGAATGTATTTTTTTATTTTGTTTTCAACTTCTTTAAGAATAATGTTTCAAAATAGTTCATTATGGTTGGAATATAGTCTATACATTTACAGTGATAATTATAAAAATTTTACTCATTTACCTGAATAGTGCCGCGGCATGCCGTAGCAACCAAACATTGCGTCCGGGACAAAACTTCAAAATACAGTGTTATGTATTTTTAATTTAAAAATAGTATGCTTATTAGATATTATTTTCAATGATTACTTTAATTAATATGAATGATGTTAATGTCAAAGATTTTATAAACAAAATATACAACATTGACCGTTGTAATTTTACATTAAATGCAAGATTTTCATTTTTGTGCTTTCCCAAGATTGCAGATTTTTTCAGGTGGGTTTCGGAAATAAGAGCTAAATCAATGTTTTTGTTATGCTAAAAGTAGTATAGCTCCTTTCCATGTATTTTTAATCCATTGGCATTCCAAAGAATTATCGATAAAGGAGGTGTGGTGTTATTATTATTATTATTATATTATATTATATTATATATTATATTATATTATATTATATTACATTATTATTTTTGAGAAGTATTTGACTAATTACTTGAGTTAAAAGAGTTATAAGAGGGTTTATAATGGATTTAAGTCGTTTATGAATGTATTAAATTGAGATGTTAAGTTATTTATAGACTCGGTACTTTGGTTTAGCGGGCATTAGTCATTTTTGTTAGAACTGGTTTTATTTTTTTGTACTTGGGAATACGATGATTCAACATTTACATTTGGACCTATGTTATTGTTTTTACTTGTATTTGACAAGACGTGTTCATTTACATAGTATTTGTTGATTGAATTTGATATATTAGTTTGGCGATCCGGCTTGGTTCCCCGAGTTTGAAGGTTTTTGAAAACTTCACAGCCTCGGTAATTTACGGGATGGTACCTCCACATAGTGTACATTTGACCCGAACATCTCTGTTTTTGGTACAAGATTCAGAGCTGTGTTGTTCGCTACAGCGTACGCAACGAGGCTTGCTGTTGCAGTAGTGACGTGTATGACCGTAATTTTGACAATTCATACATTGCGGTAATTGTTTACGTACTTTGGGTGCTTCAACTTATTACTTGTTACTTTGGTGTAACAAAGTGAGGTTAGTGAGAAAATGTCTTTATTATTTAGAGCGGGTTCGAGGTTGATAAAAATAATGGTAAAGGGATTTTTGTTAGATTTTGCAAAACTTTGTAATGTTACGCGCTAGATGACCGTTTTTTCTGAGTTCTTCTTTGATAAATTCGATTTTTGTTGATGGATGTAAGTTTCGGATCACTATGCGGTATGCTTTTTCGTCTTTCAGTTGATATGTATAAAAATCAACGTTGTATTCTTTTAGATATTTTATAACTGAGCGAAAGGAACTTATTGTGTTTGTTTGAAGTTATAAGGCATTTGTTGTGCTTTTGCATGTGAATTCGGCTGTGGGTTCTATTTTATTTTTTATGTTAGTGCAGAAAGAACTAAAATCGTTTATTTTGGTTTTGATAAATATTGGTGGTGGTTTTTTTTCTAATGGGGCTGGGACGTCTTCGTCCATTGACTCAATTTGATCATCTTTGTCAACTTGAGAGAGAAGAGCGTAACTATTTTCAATGACAAATTTTGTGTTAGATTGTTTAATGTTTTTAGATTTAGGAGAGTTTCCTTTGGAAGTAGGATTCGAACGCTTAAGTATTTTTGGTG